ACCCCAAACCCCAAACCCTGATCCCAAACACTGAGCCCAAACCCCAAACCCTGATCCCAAACCCTGATCCCAAACCCCAAAAAAACCCTGATCCCAAATCCCAAACCCTGATCCCAAACCCCAAACCCGGCCCGGGCCAGGCGGAGCTTGCGCTGCTTGAACGTCTCGGTCACCTCCAGGTGCTCCTGGATCCAAAACCCCAAACCCTGATCCTAAACCCCAAACCCTGATCCCAAACCCTGATCCCAAACCCTGATCCCAAACCCCAAACCCTGATCCCAAACCCTGGATCGGCCCCGGCCCGGGCCAGGCGGAGCTTGCGCTGCTTGAACGTCTCGGTCACCTCCAGGTGCTCCTGGATCCAAAACCCCAAACCCTGATCCCAAACCCTGATCCCAAACCCCAAACCCTGATCCCAAACCCTGATCCCAGACCCCAAACCCCAAACCCTGACCCCAAATCCCAATCCCAAATCCAACCCCTGACCCCATACCTGCACCCTGAGGAATTAGGGTCTCAAACCCTGGATCCCAGACCCCAAACTCCAAACCCTGACCCCAATCCCATCCCCCCTGACCCCATACCTGTACCCTGACCCCATACCTGCACCCTGAGGAAGCGGGGTCTCATACCCTGGATCCCAAATCCCAAACCCTGACCCCAAACCCCAAACCCCAAACCCGGCCCGGGCCAGGCGGAGCTTGCGCTGCTTGAACGTCTCGGTCACCTCCAGGTGCTCCTGGATCCAAAACCCCAAACCCTGATCCCAAACCCTGATCCCAAACCCTGATCCCAAACCCTGATCCCAAACCCCAAACCCTGATCCCAAACCCTGATCCCAAACCCCAAACCCTGATCCCAAACCCCAAACCCTGAGCCCAAACCCCAAACCCTGATCCCAAACCCTGACCCCAAACCCCAAACCCTGAGCCCAAACCCCATACCTGCACCCTGACCCCAATCCCTGACCCCATACCTGCACCCTGAGGAATCGGGGTCTCAAACCCTGGATCCCAGACCCCAAACCCTGACCCCAAACCCCAAATCCCAATCCCAAATCCCAATCCCAATCCAATCCCAATCCCATACCTGCACCCTGAGGAATTGGGGTCTGGCGTAGGGCGGCATGAGCCACTCGAGGTGCCGGAAGAGCCCCGGCCCGTCCAGGCAGCTTTGGGGTCTCAAACCCTGGATCCCAGACCCCAAACCCTGATCCCAGACCCCAAACCCCATACCCTGACCCCAAATCCCAATCCCAGTACCTGCACCCTGAGGAATCGGGGTCTCAAACCCTGGATCCCAGACCCCAAACCCTGACCCCAAACCCCAAATCCCAATCCCTGACCCCAAACCCTGGATCCCAGACCCCAAACCCCATATCCTGCACCCTGACCGTCCCAAACCCCTGGATCCCGAGGAATCCGGTCCCAAACCCTGCAATCCCCTAGATCCCCAAACCCTGGATCCCAGACCCCAAATCCCAAATCCCATCCCAATCCCATACCTGCACCCTGAGGAACTGGGGTCTCGCGTAGGGCAGCAGGAGCCGCTCGAGGTGCCAGAAAAGCCCCGGCCCGTCCAGAGAGCGTTGGGGTCTCAAACCCTGGATCCCAGACCCCAAACCCTGACCCCAAACCCCAAATCCCATCCCCCCTGACCCCATACCTGCACCCTGACCCCATACCTGCACCCTGAGGAATTGGGGTCTGGCGTAGGGCGGCAGGAGCCGCTCGAGGTGCCGGAAGAGCCCCGGCCCATCCAGGGAGCTTTGGGGTCTCAGCACCAGCGCGGCCATCCCGGCACGGCCCTCGTGGCCTGGGGGGGTGGGGGGAGGGAAAAAGGGGCACCCTCAGGGGGTCTGGGGGGGTTTGGGGAGGGGGTCAGACCCCCTGTGGGGTCGGGGGGAGCGGTACCTGGCACGGTGACCCCGTAAACGGTGGCGTCCTGGAGGGACTCGTGGGCCAGCAGGGCCTCGGCCACCTCGGTGGTGGCCACGTTCTCCCCCTTCCACCTGGGGAGACCCCCCCCCAAAAAATATCCTTGGGTGGGGCTGAGACCACCCCAAAATGGGGGCTGATACCCCCCCAAAAACCTTTAATGGGGCTGAGACCACCCAAAAACCTTTAATGGGGCTGAGACCCCCCAAAAAATATCCTTGGGTGGGGCTGAGACCACCCCAAAATGGGCTGAGACCCCCCCCAAAAAAATATCCTTGGGTGGGGCTGAGATCACCCCAAAATGGGGCTGAGACCCCCTAAAATAATGGGGGCTGAGACCCCCCCAAAATGGGGAGTGGAGACCCCCCCAAAAACACCTTGGGTGGGGCTGAGACCCCCCCAAAATGGGGGCTGAGACCCCCCCAAAACCCTTAATGGGGTTGAGACCCCCAAAAAACCTTGGGTGGGGCTGAGACCACCCCAAAATGGGCTGAGACCCCCCCAAAAAACCTTTAATGGGGCCAAGACCCCCCCAAAATGGGGGGGTGAGACCCCCCCCAAAAAAACACCTTGGGTGGGGCTGAGACCACCCCAAAATGGGGCTGAGACCACCCCCAAAAAAACCTTGGGTGGGGCTGAGACCACCCCAAAATGGGGGACAAGACCCCCCCAAAATGGGGGACAAGACCCCCCCAAAAACACCTTGGGTGGGGCTGAGACCACCCCAAAATGGGGTTGAGACCACCCCAAAATGGGGCTGAGACCCCCCCTAAATGGGGGACAAGACCCCCCCAAAAACCTTTAATGGGGCTGAGACCCCCCCAAAATGGGGGACAAGACCTCCCCAAAATGGGGGCTGAGACCCCCCAAAAACCTTGATGGGGACTGAGACCTCCCCAAAATGGGGGCTGAGACCCCCCCAAAATGGGGGCTGAGACCCCCCCAAATGGGGGCCAAGACCCCCAAAATGGGGCTGAGACCCCCCCAAAATGGGGCTGAGACCACCCCAAAATGGGCTGAGACCACCCCAAAATGGGGCTGAGACCACCCCAAAATGGGGCTGAGACCACCCCAAAATGGGGCTGAGACCCCCCAAATGGGGCTGAGACCCCAAATACACTAGGTGGGTCTGAGACCACCCCAAAATGGGACTGAGACCCCCCCCAAAAAAACACCTTGGGTGGGGCTGAGACCCCCCCAAAATGGGGTTGAGACCCCCCCAAAATGGGGGACAAGACCTCCCCAAAATGGGGGCTGAGACCCCCCCAAAATGGGGCTGAGACCCCCCCAAAATGGGGGACAAGACCCCCCCAAAAACCTTTAATGGGGCTGAGACCCCCCAAAAAACCTTTAATGGGGCTGAGACCCCCCCCAAAATGGGGCTGAGACCACCCCAAAATGGGGGGCTGAGACCCTCCCAAAATGGGGGGCTGAGACCCCCCCAAAAAAACCTTTAATGGGACTGTGACCCCCTCCCCAAAACCTCTAATAGGGTTGATCCCCTCCCCGGTATCCACGCAGGGCTGTGGGGTCTGGGGGCTCCCACTCTGTCCCCCCGTGGGTCGGGTGGGGGGCTCTGGGGGGCTCTGGGTGTCTCTGGGGGTCTCTGGGGGGCTCTGGGTGGTTTGGGGGGTTCTGTGGGTGTCCCCCTCCCCTTGGGGCAGCTGTCACCTGAAGGTGTCACTGTGGGGTCTGGGGTCTCCCATTCTGTCCCCCCCGGGGTGAGGGTCTCTGGGGGTCTCTGGGGGGTTCTGTGGGGTGCCCCCTCCCCTTTGGGGTGGCTGTCACCTGAAGGTGTCACTGTGGGGTCTGGGGGCTCTGGGGGTCTCTGGGGGTCTCTGGGTGCTCCTGCTCTGTCCCCCCGGGGTTGGGGGCTCTGGGGGGCTCTGGGGGTCTCCGGGGGTCTCTGGGGGTCTCCGGGAAGGCTCTGTGGGTCTCTGTGGGTCTCTGGGGGTCTCTGGGTGGTTTGGGGGGGGTTCTGTGGGGTGCCCCCTCCCCTTTAGGGTGGCTCTCACCTGAAGGTGTCACTGTGGGGTCTGGGGGTCTCCGGGAAGGCTCTGGGGTCTCTGGGGGTCTCTGTGGGTCTCCGGGGGTCTCTGTGGTGTGCCCCCCTCCCCTTTAGGGTGGCTGTCACCTGAAGGTGTCACTGTGGGGTCTGGGGGCTCTGGGGGTCTCTGTGGGTCTCTGGGAGGCTCTGGGGGTCTCTGGGGGTCTCTGGGGGTCTCTGGGGGTCTCTGGGTGGTTTGGGGGGTCTCTGTGGGGTGCCCCCTCCCCTTTAGGGCGGCTCTCACCTGAAGGTGTCACTGTGGGCTCTGGGGCTCTGTGTTGTCTCCGGGGTGGGGGTCTCTGGGGATCTCTGGGGGTCTCTGGGGGGCTCTGTGGGATGTCCCCCTCCCCATGGGGCCGCTGTGTCACCTGAAGGTGTCACTGTGGGGTCTGGGGCTCTGGGTGTCTCTGGGGGGTTCTGGGGGTCTCTGGGGGTCTCTGTAGGTCTCTGTGGGTCTCCGAGGGTCTCTGGGGTGTCTCTGGGGTCTCTGGGGGCTCTGGGGTGCTGGGGTCTCTGGGGTCTCTGGGGCTCTCTGGGTGATTTGGGGGGGCTCTGTGGGGTGCCCCCTCCCCTTTAGGGTGGCTCTCACCTGAAGGTGTCACTGTGGGGTCTGTGGGTCTCTGGGGTCTCTGTGCGTCTCGGGGGCTCTGGGGGTCTCTGGGGGTCTCTGTGGGTCTCTGGGTGATTTGGGGGGGCTCTGTGGGGTGCCCCCTCCCCTTGGGGCCGCAGTGTCACCTGAAGGTGTCACTGTGGGGTCTGGGGGCTCTGGGGGTCTCTGGGGGTCTCTGGGAGGCTCTGGGGGTCTCTGGGGGTCTCTGTGGGTCTCTGGGGGTCTCTGGGTGGTTTGGGGGGGCTCTGTGGGGTGCCCCCTCCCCTTTAGGGCGGCTCTCACCTGAAGGTGTCACTGTGGGGTCTGGGGGCTCCTGTGCTGTCCCCCGGGCTGGGGGCTCGGAAGGCTCTGGGGTCTCTGGGGATCTCTGGGTGTCTCTGGGGGTCTCTGGGGGTCTGGGTGGTTTGGGGGTCTGTGGGATGTCCCCTCCCCATGGGCGGCTGCTCACCTGAAGGTGTCACTGTGGGGTCTGGGGGTGGTGTCACTGTGGGGTCTGGGGTCTCTGGGGGTCTCTGTGGGTCTCTGTGGGTCTCTGGGTGGTTTGGGGGGTTCTGTGGGGTGCCCCCTCCCCATGGGGCCGCTGTCACCTGAAGGTGTCACTGTGGGGTCTGGGGGCTCTCCTGGTGGGGTCTCTGGGGTCTCTGTGGTGTCTCTGGGTGTCTCTGGGTGGTTTCGGGGGTCTCTGTGGGTGTCCCCTCCCCATGGGGCCGCTGTCACCTGAAGGTGTCACTGTGGGGTCTGGGGGCTCTGGGGGGCTCTATGGGGCTCCGGAGTTCTCTGGGGGTCTCCGGAGTTCTCTGGGGGTCTCTGGGAAGCTCTGGGGCTCTCTGGGTGGTTTGGGGGGGGTCTCTGGGGTGCCCCCTCCCCTTTGGGGCCGCTCTCACCTGAAGGTGTCCCCGGTGCGGTCCCGGAAGCGCACGAACTGCTGCGGGTCCTGCTCCACCAGGTCCCCGGTGTCGAAGAAGGCGTCGCCCTCGGAGAAGACCCCGCGGAGCAGCCTCTGCTCCGACAGCTCGGGGGGCCCCGCGTAGCCCAGGAAGGGGGTCCGGGGCGTCACCGGAGCGATCAGCAGGCCCGTCTCGCCTGGGGAGGGGACGGGGTGAGGGGAGGAGGGATCCCTCTACAGGACCCCCAAACCTCTACCCATGGTTCCCACTGCTCAGCCGGGCTGGGATGGGAGGAGGTGGGATGAGGGAAGGAGGACCCCCACGGGACCCCAAACCTCTACCCATGGTCCTGCCGCTCATCCGGGCCGGGATGAGGGGTGGGATGAGGAGGAGGGTGAGGGGAGGATGAGGGGTGGGATGGGGGTTTGGGATGAGGGGAGGGACCCCCTGGGACCCCCAGACCCCTCCCCAGACCCCTCCTCTGACCCGGCCTGGGATGAGGGGTGGGATGGGGGTGGGATGAGGGAAGGACCCCCAGGACCCCCAGACCCCTCCCCACAGTCCCTCCTTTCTCACCCGGCCCAGGATGTGGGGTGGGATGAGGGGTGGGTGAGGGAAGGGACCCCCCAAACCTCTACCCACGGTCCCACCGCTCACTCAGCCTGGGATTGGGGTTGGGATGAGGGGAGGGTGAGGGGTGGGTGAGGGAAGGACCCTGGGACCCCCAGACCCCTCCCTAGGCCCCTCCTCTGACCCAGCCTGGGATTGAGGGTGGGATGAGGGGTGGGATGAGGGGTTGGATGAGGAGCTGGATGAGGGGTGGGATGAGGGGTGGGATGAGGGAAGGGACCCCCAGGACCCCCAGACCCCTCCCCAGCCCCTCCTCTGACCCGACCCGGGATGGGGGATGGGGATGAGGGGAGGGTGAGGGGTGGGATGGGGGTTTGGGATGAGGGAAGGGACCCCCAGACCCCTCCTCTGACCGGGCCCCACTCAGATGCAGCGCCTGTGCCGGGATGAGGGGTGGGATGGGGGTTTGGGATGAGGGAAGGACCCCCAGGACCCCCCAGCCCCTCCTCTGACCGGGCCCCGCTCGGATGCAGCGCCCGTGCCGGGATGGGGGGTTGGATGAGGGGTGGGATGAGGGTTTAGGGGTGAGGAGGGACCCCCAGACCCCTCCCCAGCCCCTCCTCTGACCCGGCCCGGGATGGGGGGTTGGATGAGGGGTGGGATGGGGGTTTGGGATGAGGAAGGGACCCCAGACCCCTCCCCAGCCCCTCCTCTGACCCGGCCCCGCTCGGATGCAGCGCCCGTGCCGGGATGGGGGTGGGATGAGGGGTGGGATGAGGGGTTTGGGATGAGGAAGGGGACCCCTGGGACCCCCAGACCCCTCCCCAGCCCCTCCTCTGACCGGGCCCCGCTCGGATGCAGCGCCCGTGCCGGTCCCGCTCCGGGGCTCCCGCGGCCACATCGAACCGAACGATCTCGAAGGGCGAGAAGAGCTGGGGGGAGGAGGAGGGGGCGTTTGGGGGCGTTTGGGGGAGTGTTTGGGGAGGAGGGGTTTGGGGAGGTGTTTGGGGAGGAGGAAGGGGCGTTTGGGGGAGGAGGAGGGGGCGTTTGGGGGGTGTTTGGGGGAGTGTTTGGGGAGGAGGGGGCGTTTGGGGTGGAGGGGGCGTTTGGGGAGGAGGGGTGTTTGGGGGTGTTTGGGGGGAGGGAGGGGGCGTTTGGGGGGTGTTTGGAGAGGAGGGGCGTTTGGGAGGAGGGAGGGGGCGTTTGGGGGAGGAGGGGCGTTTGGGGGCTGTTTGGGAGGAGGAGGCGTTTGGGGGTGTTTGGGGAGGAGGGGGCGTTTGGGGGGTGTTTGGGGAGGAGGGGGCGTTTGGGGGGCTGTTTGGGGAGGAGGGGCGTTTGGGGGTGTTTGGGGAGGAGGGCATTTGGGGAGGAGGAGGAGGCGTTTGGGGAGGAGGGGTGTTTGGGGGAGGAGGAGGGGGTGTTTGGGGGGGTGTTTGGGGGAGGAGGGGGCGTTTGGGGGGTGTTTGGGGAGGAGGGGCGTTTGGGGGGTGTTTGGGGAGGAGGGGCGTTTGGGGGGTGTTTGGGGAGGAGAGGCGTCAGACCCCCGGGAGAGGTATGGGGGGTGTGGGGGGGGTTTGGACACGGCCAGGGTGGGTGGGGGTCCCACTCGGGATGGACAGAGGGACCCCCAGGATGGGCAGAGGGACCCCCAGGATGGACAGAGGGACCCCCAGGATGGACACAGGGACCCCCAGATGGACACAGGGACCCCCAGGACAGACAGAGGGACCACCAGGATGGACAGAGGGACCCCCAGGATGGACACAGGGACCCCCAGGATGGACAGAGGGACCCCCAGGATGGACATGAGGACCCCAGCATGGACAGAGGGACCCCAGATGGACACAGGGACCCCCAGGATGGACAGAGGGACCCCCAGGATGGACACAGGGACCCCCAGAATGGACAGAGGGACCCCAAGGATGGACAGAGGGACCCCCAGGATGGACACAGAGACCCCCAGGACAGACAGAGGGACCCCCAGCATGGACAGAGGGACCCCCAGATGGACACAGGGACCCCCAGGATGGACAGAGGGACCCCCAGGATGGACATGGGACCCCCAGATGGACACAGGGACCCCCAGGATGGACATGGGACCCCCAGGAGAGACAGAGGGACCCCCAGGATGGACAGGGGTGACGCCCAGGACAGACAGAGGGACCCCCAGATGGACACAGGGACCCCCAGGAGGGACAGAGGGACCCCCAGGATGGACAGGGGGACCCCCAGATGGACACAGGGACCCCAGGAGGACAGAGGGACCCCAGGAGGGACAGAGGGACCCCAGGATGGACAGAGGACCCCCAGATGGACATGAGACCCCAGGATGGACAGAGGACCCCAGGATGGACAGAGGACCCCAGGACAGGCAGGGGGGACTCCCCAGATGGACAGAGGACCCCAGGATGGACAGAGGGACCCCAGATGGACAGAGGGACCCCCAGGAGGGACAGAGGGACCCCCAGGATGGACAGAGGGACCCCCAGATGGACATGAGACCCCCAGGATGGACAGAGGGACCCCCAGGATGGACAGAGGGACCCCCAGGATGGACAGAGGGATCCCCAGGACAGACAGAGGGACCCCCAGGATGGACACAGGGACCCCCAGGATGGGCAGAGGGACCCCCAGGATGAACAGAGGGACCCCCAGATGGACAGAGGGACCCCCAGGATGGACATAGGACCCCAGGATGGAAAAAGGACCCCAGATGGACACAGGGACCCCAGGATGGACAGAGGACCCCAGGATGGACACAGGGACCCCAGATGGACAGAGGGACCCCAGGATGGACATAGGGACCCCCAGGATGGACATGGGACCCCCAGAATGGACACAGGGACCCCCAGGATGGGCAGAGGGACCCCCAGGATGGACAGAGGGACCCCCAGATGGACACAGGGACCCCCAGGATGGACAGGGGTGACCCCCAGGATGGACAGAGGGACCCCCAGGATGGACACAGGGACCCCCAGGATGGACAGAGGGACCCCCAGGATGGACAGAGGGACCCCCAGGATGGACACAGGGACCCCCAGGATGGACAGAGGGACCCCCAGGATGGACAGAGGGACCCCCAGGACAGACAGAGGGACCCCCAGGATGGACATGGGACCCCCAGGACAGCCAGAGGTGACCCCAGGATGGACACAGGGACCCCCAGGATGGACATGGGACCCCCAGGATGGACAGAGGGACCCCCAGGATGGACACAGGGACCCCAGGATGGACACAGGGACCCCAGGATGGACAGAGGACCCTCAGGATGGAAAAAGGACCCCCAGGACAGACAGAGGACCCCCAGGATGGACAGAGGGACCCCCAGGACAGCCAGGGGTGACCCCCAGGATGGACATGGGACCCCCAGGACAGACAGAGGGACCCCCAGATGGACACAGGGACCCCCAGATGGACAGAGGGACCCCCAAATGGACAGAGGGACCCCCAGGATGGACACAGGGACCCCCAGATGGACATGGGACCCCCAGGACAGACAGAGGACCCCAGGATGAACAGAGGACCCCAGAGATGGACATAGGACCCCAGAGATGGACAGAGAGGACCCCCAAATGGACAGAAGAGAGACCCCAGAATGAACATAGGACCCCAGAGATGAACAGAGGGACCCCAGAGATGGACACAGAGACCCCCAGATGGACACAGGAGACCCCCAGGACAGGACAGAGAGACCCCAGGATGAACAGAAGGACCCCAGAGATGGACATAGAGACCCCAGAATGGACATAGGACCCCAGAGATGGACACAGAGACCCCAGGATGGACAGAGGGACCCCCAGGATGGGCATGGGACCCCCAGGATGGACAGAGGGACCCCCAGATGGACAGAGGGACCCCCAGGACAGAGAGAGGGACCCCCAGGATGGACACAGGGACCCCCAGGATGGACATGGGACCCCCAGGATGGACAGAGGGACCCCCAGGATGGACACAGGGACCCCAGGATGGACAGAAAGGACCCCAGGATGAGCACAGGGACCCCCAGATGGACACAGGGACCCCCAGGATGGACAGAGGGACCCCCAGATGGACACAGGGACCCCCAGGATGGACATGGGACCCTCCAGGACCCCCAGGATGGACAGAGGGCCCCCAGGACAGCCAGGTGTGACCCCCAGGATGGGTCTGGGACCCCCAGGACAGCCAGGGGTGACCCCCAGGACAGCCAGGGGTGACCCCCAGGACAGCCAGGGGTGACCCCAGGACAGCCAGGGGTGACCCCCAGGTGGACACAGAGACCCCCAGGATGGACAGAGGGACCCCCAGGATGGACTCAGAGACCCCCAGGACAGCCAGGTGTGACCCCCAGGATGGACAGAGGGACCCCCAGGATGGACACAGGGACCCCCAGGACAGCCAGGTGTGACCCCCAGGACAGCCAGGTGTGACCCCCAGGATGGACAGAGGGACCCCCAGGATGGACAGAGGGACCCCCAGATGGACAGAGGGACCCCCAGGACAGCCAGGGGTGACCCCCAGGACAGACAAAGGGACCCCCAGGATGGACATGGGACCCCCAGGATGGACAGAGGGACCCCCAGGATGGACAGAGGACCCCCAGGACAGACAGGGGTGACCCCAGGACAGCCAGGGGTGACCCCCAGGATGGACAGAGGGACCCCCAGGACAGCCAGGGGTGACCCCCAGGATGGACATGGGACCCCCAGGACAGCCAGGGGTGACCCCCAGGACAGCCAGGGGTGACCCCCAGATGGACACAGGGACGCCCAGGACAGCCAGGGGTGACCCCAGGACAGCCAGGGGTGACCCCCATGATGGACATGGGACCCCCAGGACAGCCAGGGGTGACCCCCAGGATGGGTCTGGGACCCCCAGGACAGCCAGGGGAGACCCCCAGGACAGCCAGGTGTGCCCCCCCCCATCCCATCCCCCTGCCCTCACCTTGTAGATGGCGCTGGCCCTGCCCATGGCTCCGGGGGTGCCGGTGTAGTTGAAGAGGGTGACGTTGCCCTCGCTCAGCCCGTGGGTCTCCACGATCCTCCACGGGCCGAGCGCCCTGGAAGCTCCTCCAGACGTCGGGCCGGAGCCCCGAGCCCACGGCCAGGCGGAGCCCGTGCTGCCGCTCCCCGGGGCGCTGCGGGACCACCAGCAACTCCTCAAAATCTGAGGAACCCCCCGAAATCTGGGGGGGTCAAAGAACCCACCCCCAGCTCCAAAGAATCCACCCCCACCTCCAAGAACCCCCCGTGCTGCCGCTCCCCGGGGCTCTGCGGGACCACCCACACCTCTGGGGGACCCCCCAAAATCTGGGGGTCCAAAGAACCCCCTCGACCCCAAAGAACCCACCCCCACCTTCAAAAAATCCACCCCCGGCTCCAAAGAACCCCCGTGCTGCCGCTCCCGGGGCTCTGCGGGACCACCCACACCTCTGGGGACCCCAAAATCTGGGGCCAAGAACCCCCTCGACCCCAAAGAGCCCACCCCCACCTTCAAAAAATCCACCCCCGGCTCCAAAGAGCCCCCTGTGCTGCCGCTCCAGGGGCTCTGCGGGACCACCCACACCTCTGGGGACCCCGAAATCTGGGGTCCAAAAGACCACCCCCGGCTCCAAAGAACCCCCAGTGCCGCTCCCGGGGCTGTGGGACCACCGGGACCTCCCCAAAATCTGAGGGACCCCCCGAAACTGGGGGGCCAAAGAACCCACCCCAACACCACTTCCCGGGGTGCTGAGGGACCACCAGTACCACTGGAGGACCCCTCGAAATCTGAGGGGTCCAAAGGACCCACCCCGGCTCCAAAACCCACCCCGGCTCCAAAGAACCCCCCCGTGCTGCGCTCCGGGGCTGCGGGACCACCAGCAACTCCCCAAAATCTGGGGGCCAAAGAACCCACCCCACCTCCAAAGAACCCACCCTGGCTCCAAAAAATCCACCCCCGGTTCCAAAGAACCCACCCTCGACCCAAAGACCCACCCCCACCTTCAAAATCCACCCCCGGCCTCAAGAGCCCCCAGTGCGCTCCCGGGGTGCTGCGGGACCACCGGGACCTCCCCAAAATCTGGGGGGGCCAAAGAACCCACCTCCACCTCCAAAAAATCCACCCCCGGCTCCAAAGAACCCCCCCCTGGCTCCAAAGACCCCCCCCAGTGCCGCTCCCCGGGGCGCTGCGGGACCACCGGCACCTCTGGGGGACACCCCAAAATCTGGGGGGGCCAAAGAACCCACCCCTGGCTCCAAAGAACCCCCCCGTGCTGCCGCTCCCCGGGGCGCTGCGGGACCACCAACAACTCCCCAAAATCTGGGGGGCCAAAGAACCCACCCCCGGCTCCAAAGAACCCACCCCTGGTTCCAAAGAGCCCCCAGCTCCAAAAACCCACCCCCGGCTCCAAGAGCCCCGGGGCGCTGCAGGACCCCGGCACCTCCCCAAAATCTGGGGCCAAAGAACTCCACCCTCGACCCCAAAGACCACCTCCACCTCCAAAAATCCACCCCGGCTCCAGAACCCCCAGTGCTGCTCCCGGGCGCTGCGGGACCACCGGCACCTCCCCAAAATCTGGGGGCAAGGAACCCACCCCCGGCTCCAAAGAAACCCCCAGCTCCAAAGAAACCCCCCAGCTCCAAAGAACCCCCAGTGCCGCCGCTCACGGGGCCTGCTGGGACCACCAACAACTCCCAAAATCTGGGGGACCCCCCGAAAACTGGGGGGCCAAAGAACCGCCCCCCGGCTTCAAAGAACCCCCCGTGCTGCCGCTCCCGGGCGCTGAGGGACCACCCACACCTCTGGGGACCCCCGAAACTGGGGGGCCAAAGGACTACCCCAGGCTCCAAGGACCCACCCCTGGCTCAAGGAGCCCCCCAGTGCCGCTCCCGGGCGCTGCGGGACCACCGGCACCTCTGGGGGACCCCTCGAAATCTGGGGGCCAAGAGCCCACCCCAGCTCCAAAGAGCCCCCAGTGCCGCTCCCGGGGCGCTGCGGGACCACCGGCACCTCCCCAAAATCTGGGGGCCAAAGAACCCACCCTCGACCCCCAAAGAACCCACCCCCACCTTCAAAAAATCCACCCCCGGCTCCAAGGAGCCCTCCCGTGCTGCCGCTCCTGGGCGCTGGGACCACCAGCACCTCTGGGGACCCGAAACTGGGGGCCAAAGACCCACCCCAGCTCAAAGGACCCATCCCCAGCCCCAAAAAGCCCACTCCAAAGAACCCCCCGTGCTGCCGCTCCCCGGGGCGCTGAGGGACCACCCACAACTCCCCAAAATCTGGGGGGGCCAAAGAACCCACCTCCACCTCCAAAAAATCCACCCCCGGCTCCAAAGAACCCCCCCTGGCTCCAAAGAACCCACCCCTGCTCCAAGAACCGCCCCAGAACCAAAAAGCCCACCCCTGGCTCCAAGAAGCCCGGGGTGCTGCCGCTCCCAGGGTGCTGCGTGAGACCACCGGCACCTCCCAAAATCTGGGGGACCCCCTGAAATCTGGGGGCCAAAGAGCCCACCCCCAGCTCCAAAGAACCCACCCCCGGCTCCAAAGAACCCACCCCCACCTCCAAAAGCCCCCCGTGCTGCCGCTCCCGGGCGCTGAGGGACCACCAGCGACTCCCAAAATCTGGGGGCCAAAGAACCCACCCTCGACCCCAAAGAACCCACCCCCGGCTCCAAAAAACCCCACCAGTGCCACTCCCCAGGGCACTGCGGGACCACCGGCACCTCCCCAAAATCTGGGGGGTCCAAAGAACCCCCCCCCAGCTCCAAAGAACCCACCCCAGCTCCAAAAAACCCACTCCAAAGAACCCCCCGTGCTGCCGCTCCCCGGGGCGCTGCGGGACCACCAACAACTCCCCAAAATCTGGGGGGTCCAAAGAACCCACCCCCGGCTCCAAAGAACCCCGGGGTGTTGTGGGACCACCCGCACCTCTGGGGGACCCCCCGAAACTGGGGGGCCAAAGAACCCCCCCACTGCCGCTCCCTGGGGCGCTGCGGGACCACCAACACCTCCCCAAAATCTGGGGGGCCAAAGAACCCAACCCCTGGTTCCAAAGAACCCACCCCAGCTCCAAAGAACCCCCCCAGTGCCGCTCCCCAGGGCGCTGCAGGACCACCGGCGCCTCCCCAAAATCTGGGGGGCCAAAGAGCCCACCCTCGACCCTCAAGAACCCACCCCCAGCTCCAAAACCCTCCAAAGACCCCCGTGCTGCCGCTCCCGGGGTGCTGCGGACCACCGGCACCTCCCCAAAATCTGAGGAACCCCCGAGAACTGGGGGTCCTAAGAACCCACCTCCCAGCTCCAAAGACCCCCCCGTGCTGCCGCTCCCCGGGGTGCTGCGGGACCACCGGCACCTCCCCCAAAATCTGAGGGGGCCAAAGATCCCACCCTCGGCCCCAAAGAACCCCCCAGCTCCAAAGAGCACCCCCCGGCTCCAAAGAACCCCCTGTGCTGCGGGACCACCGGCACCTCCCCAAAATCTGGGGGGTCCAAAGAACCCAACCCCACCTCCAAAGAACCCACCCCCCAGCTCCAAAGATCCCCCTAGTTCCAAAAACCCACCCCTGGCTCCAAAACCCACCCCAGCTCCAAGGAACCCCCTCAGCTCCAAAGAACCCCGGGGTGCTGCGGGACCACCGGCACCTCCCCAAAATCTGGGGGACCTCCTGAAATCTGGGGGTCCAAAGAACCCACCCCCGCCTCCAAAGAACCCATCCCCGGCTCCAAGGAACCCCCCGTGCTGCCGCTCCCCGGGGCGCTGCAGGACCACCGGCACCTCCCCAAAATCTGGGGGGGCCAAAGAACCCACCCCAACACCGCTCCCCGGGGCGCTGCGGGACCACTGGCATTCCCCAAAATCTGGGGGGGCCAAAGAACCCACCCCCTGCTCCAAAGAACCCCCTGGCTCCAAAAACCCCACCCCCAGCTCCAAAGACCCCACCAGTGCCACTCCCCAGGGCGCTGCGAGACCACCGGCACTCTCCCAAAATCTGGGGGTCCAAAGAACCCCCGGCTCCAAAGAACCCCCAGTGCCGCTCCCCGGGCGCTGCTGGACCACCCGCACCTCTGGGGACCCCCGAAATCTGGGGGTCCAAAGAGCCCACCCCGGCTCCAAAAACCCACCCCGGCTCCAAAGAACCCCCAGTGCCGCTCCCGGGGCGCTGCGGGACCACCGGCACCTCCCCAAAATCTGGGGGGTCCAAAGAACCCACCCCCGGCTCGAAAGAACCCCCCCAGCTCCAAAAAACCCTGGGGCGCTGCGGGACCACCAGTACCTCCCCAAAATCCGGGGTCCAAAGAACCCACCCCGGCTCCAAAAACCCACTCCAAGGAGCCCCCAGTGCCGCTCCCGGGGCGCTGCGGGACCACCGGCACCTCTGGGGACCCCTCAAAATCTGGGGGTCCAAAGAACCCACCCTCGACCCCAAAGAACCCCACCCAGCTCCAAGAACCCCCCGTGCTGCCGCTCCGGGGTGCTGCGGGACCACCGGCACCTCCCCAAAATCTGGGGGTCCAAAGAACCCACCCCCAGCTCCAAGAACCCCCACTGCCGCTCCCCGGGCGCTGAGGACCACCCGCACCTCTGGGGACCCCC